CGCCCCCTGCCCGGCGCGCCCTCCACCACCCTCACGGCGGCGCGCGGCCTCCGAGGCGGGGCTCGGGTCCGCGGAGCCCGCCCTTCCGCGTGCCCACTCGTGCCCCGAATAGCCGTCCACGGCTCCGGCCGGGAGCCGGCCCTCCCAATGATGGGGCGCGAGGCCGCGGAGCCCCGCCCCCTTTCGGCGCGCCCCTCTCCCGGCGCGCGCCCCCGTCCCTTTCCCGGAGCAACCCTCCTACCTCAGGGCGGGAGGCTGAGAAGCCCCGCCCTCTCTCCGGCACGCCCCTCTTCACAGAGCTCGTTCAGCCTCAACCCGGCACGCCCTGCCTCTTCGCAGGCGCGCCCACCCCACGCCGAGGCGCGCGGCCAGGGGTAGCCTACCCCCTTCCTAGACGCTTCCACCCTGGCCCCAGCGCGCCCCCGTTCGCGATTGGGGGGGGGGCGCCTGATCCCCACGTGGCCGGGGTGGAGGTGCGGAAGCGGCCGGACCCGCCCCTAGACCACGTGCGCAACCCATCCCCCCTTTTCCGCGGCTGGGGCCCCCTTGGACCGCGAGTCCCTGCGTTCCAGTGCCCCTTTTCTAGGGTTCCCACTGGCCGCTCTCTCAACCTCGCGAAGCCTCCCGGCTGGAACCTGCATTCGTTCCTCTTTTTTTCTACCGGGTTCCGGAGTTGCTTGTGTGCGCCCCATTGCGGGTGGGGAGGGCTGGTATCAGGCCGAGAAGGGTCGGGGTAGGGGAGACCGAGGTGTACCCCAACGTAGAGGAAGGTTTGATCTCTGGGCGCGTCAGCTAGGCAGAGGCTCCCCGCCCTGATGGGACACTGGGATCCCGGGCGTTGTTTTTTGGCCCCAGGCATCGACCCTTGGCGTTCCAACAGGAAAACTGAGGCCAGCTAGAGGGGCCAACTGCTCTACTAAGCTAAAGACGCCCAGGCCAAGTTGTTTGATAGCGGCTAGGACTCAGACGGCCGGGGTCCCCCAATCCCAAGTACTGGGGTGACCCCCTCCGTGGCGACCGCGCTCCAACTCTTTCCAGCACCAGCGAGGTGGAGGCCATGTAGTGGCGGGGACGGCCTCCAGGGGGCGGAGCTGCTTTAGCCTGCAGCGATTTAGCTGCCTCGGTTTGGGACGGGGCCTTGACGGCATACCGGATTGGTCCTCACCTGAAGCCTGGCTAACTAACGGATCCGGCCCCGCACGGTCCATGCCCTTTCAGGCTGATCACTGTCCCGGGGACTGACCATAATTGGTGGTGCCGGCCTGTCTTCCTCAGGAGGCTGCGGGTTATGGGTTTTCAAGTACTTCCAGAGCCGAGGTGCTCTTATCATATCCTTTCCGGGTACCAGTGAACCCAGCAGTGTCCAGTAGCCCAACGTATGCAGGAGGGTGCAGGCCCCTCTGGACGATAGGCGCCCGCCACAACGCCTGGCTATTTTTACAAAACTCAAGCAATCCATCCGCCTAGGCCTCCCAGAGTGCTAGGATTATAGACGTGAGCCACTATGCCCAGCCAACACCTGGCTAATTTTTAAAATTTTGTTGGGCAGTGCCTGTGGCTCAATGAGTAGGGCGTCGGCCCCATATACAGAGGGTGGCAGGTTCAAACCCGGCGCCGGCCAAACTGCAACAAAAATAGCCGGGCGTTATGGCGGGTGCCTGTAGTCCCAGCTACTTGGGAGGCTGAGGCAAGAGAATCTCCTAAGCCCAGGAGTTGGGAGGGTGCTGTGAGATGTGACGCCACGACACTCTACCAAGAGCAATAAAGTGAGATTCTGTCTCTAAAAAGAAAAAAAAAATGGTTGAGATGGGATCTTGATTTGCTGCTCAGGCTGGTCTCCAACTCCTGGCTTCAAGCGATCTTCCCACCTCAGCCTCCCAAAGTGCTGGGATTACGGTGTGACTCAGCACCACATCTGGCCATTCTTTATTTATTTATTTATTTATTTTTTGAGACAGAGCCTCAAGCTGTCCCCCTGGGTAGAGTGCTATGGCATCACAACTCACAGCAACCTCCAACTCCTGGGCTCAAGCGAGTCTCTTGCCTCCGCCTCCCAAGTAGCTGGGACTACAGGC